GGCACAGCTGCCTATTTTGCTTTCTCCTCTTTTCTATCCTCTCTCTCCTGCCCCAGACAGGTTTTATTGGTTCACAGGTGCACAATAAATAAGACTCTTACATTCACTTATCTAAAATGTACCAATCCTTTCAGTAGATAAAATAATAATAGATAACCCTTGTGCCTTCCCCTTTACCTCTCTCTCCTTAATTTTGCTCAGCACCTGTTATATATTCTGAAGCTTGGTCAGATAGCTCAGTTTGGATTTGATATCCCGCCTTTCACTCCCTTTAAGGAGTCTCAAAGCGGCTAACATTCTCCTTTCCCTTCCTCCCCCACAACAAACACTCTGTGAGGTGAGTGGGGCTGAGAGACTTCAAAGAAGTGTGACTAACCCAAGGTCACCCAGCAGCTGCAAGTGGAGGAGCGGAGACGTGAACCCGGTTCCCCAGATTAGGAGACTACCGCTCTTAACCACTACACCACACTGGCTCTCAATTGGTTAGAGTGTGGTGCTGATAATGCCAAGGTTGCTGGTTCGATCCCCGTGTGGACAGCTACATTGCAGGGGGTTGGACTAGATGATCCTCAGGGCCCCTTCAAACTCTATAATTCCATGATTCTATGACTGTCACTTTACAAAACACAAAATTCCACACACACCCAACCCCTCCCCAAATCATCCCAATTCAGATACATACACACACTTGAGAAACTGGATGTCTTTTCCTTGCTTCTCACTGTGTGGATAATGTCATTATATAGTTTAGACACTAGGTGGCACTGGATTTAGCTATAGCTCAGGGGCACCAGAAGTTTCCAGTTATTATTCTGTTCCTCTGTGTTTGTGTGTGAGAGAGCGAGAGCGATATGAAGTTTTGGCCTAGTTTCCTGACTAGAGCATCCTCTAAGCATTCTATGACAATCCCTGTCACCATCAGCCTTTTCAGAACTGGTCCTTTGAGAGTGTCAGCTGCTTCTTTCCCCATCCCAGCTGTCAACCTAGAAGTCAGAGATGTGCGTTGAGGGAAGGTTGGCATGGCAACGGGACTTGCTGGCTGTCTTCTTTGGGACTAGGGCATGAAGCTGGTCCACTGTCTTTAATTTTCGTCTCAAACTAGGCTGCCCATGGAACTAGTTGCTGACCAAGGTTTTACATCAGGGGTCATCAACCTTTTTTGGTCCAGTGGGCATATTTGGAATTTTGGGAAAGTGCTCTGGGTGCCACAAAATGATCACTGTGAGGACACGGCACAACACAAAATGGCTGCCATATCTAAAAGAGCAGAAAAAGAGACAGGGACACAAAATGGTTTGTGCATGCCTTTCCCCAGACTCCCCATTATTGGGAACCAGCCACCACAGTGTTCACTCACAGAGAGAAGTTCTTTGGGTTTCCAGTCCTAGCATCCAATGAACATGTTTATCTAGGCATGTTCAACGTAGGGGAGGCTTAGCCGATGGCAAGCACAAACGGAAGAAGAAGAGCAAACAGATTTACCTGCCTTGTGAAGTTTCAAAAGGATATTCACTGAGACCTTTCATGGATGCCATAGAGGAGATACTACTCTGCCCGTTGGCATCACATTGATGACCCTTGCTTTATATCTGCAACTGGGTAATATTGAACCATCACCCTGCTCACCAACTCATGTCTATTCACCTGTAGGGACTGCCGTGTTGCCTGAATGAGAGCTGGTAGAGGATGCCCTCCTACTATGGGATAACTGGAAAGATAAAATGATCACACACAGGGTACCTGTGTGAACGAATATTACAAGAGATCGAAGTGTGGCAGCATGCAGTTCTGAGCAAAAGGCAGTGGACCAATGGAAATTTTCTCCGTTGCGATTGAGAATCACATTCAACCTGCAATCTGGATAAAGAGAGAGAGAACAAAACAAAAACAAAGCATCACTCTCTGCCTTTCCTGTAGAAGAGAATTTCAACTCCCACTGAGCATATTGCTGTGAAACCACTTAGGTAGCAGCACAGCAACTGATAGGGATGCAGGCACAAAGGCATCCGCCTAGGGATTGCCTCATTCTTTAATGCAATGGCAACAGTCCAAACCAAGAGAAAGAAATAAAAGCTCCGTGCTGCAGTAGGGTTTGCAAAGGGCATTAGGGTTCCTTTTCTAGGCAGCAGAGCTCCCTTCCCTGCAGAACTCTGGCAGGGTCCATGGAGGAGTCCTGCTCATGGCAAGTGGGTTGTCTTACTCATTTTCTGCAAGCAGGAGCTGTGAATTTTTGCATGCTTCTGCCAACCACCTCTAAGTGCACTTTGGGTGATGTGCAGGGTGGATAACATTTGCTCATGGTAGATGAGTCAGAAAATACACTCTCTGCGAACTAAATAGACCGGTGGTCTGGTAGTGTGTCTGTGTACAGTCCACACAGCATTTCCTCTGACCCCCCCTGTAGTTTACCTGGCAGACCAGAATAATCAGAGGCTTTGCCAGGATAGAACAGTCAATATGTCAGAGAGTTCTGCAGCATTCCTATCACAGATTCAGTGACTGACCTAGTTTGAGCAAATGTACTTTTCATACTTCTTATTTACAAAAGCAGAAGTGGGCCACCAAACTAGCACTTCACTGAGGGGGCATCTTGGCACCATCTAATCACATAGGTAAAGGTAAAGGTACCCCTGCCCGTACGGGCCAGTCTTGACAGACTCTAGGGTTGTGCGCCCATCTCACTCAAGAGGCCGGGGGCCAGCGCTGTCCGGAGACACTTCCGGGTCACGTGGCCAGCGTGACATCGCTGCTCTGGCGAGCCAGAGCCGCACACGGAAACGCCGTTTACCTTCCCGCTAGAAAGCGGTCCCTATTTATCTACTTGCACCCGGGGGTGCTTTCGAATGCTAGGTTGGCAGGCGCTGGGACCGAGCAGCGGGAGCGCACCCCGCCGCGGGGATTCGAACCACCGACCTTTCGATCGGCAAGCCCTAGGCGCTGAGGCTTTTACTCACAGCGCCACCCGCGTCCCTGATCTAATCACATAGGTAAAGGTAAAAGTACCCCTGACAGTTAAGTCCAGTCGTGGACGACTCTGGGGTTGCAGCGCTCATCTCGCTTTACTGGCTGAGGGAGCCGATGTTTGTCCACAGACAGTTTTTCCGGGTCATGTGGCCAGCATGACTAAGCCGCTTCTGACGAACCAGAGCAGTGCACAGAAATGCCATTTACCTTCCTGCCAGAGTGGTACCTATTTATCTACTTGCACTTGATGTGCTTTTGAAGTGCTAGGTGGGCAGGAGCTGAGACCGAACAACAGGAGCTCACCCCGGTTGTGGGGATTCGAACCGCTGACCTTCTGATCAGCAAGCCCTGGGCACAGTGGTTTAGACCACAGCGCCACCCGTGTCCCTAACCACATACTTATTTCTAAATGGGTTAAGATGTGCACGTTACGGAGCGCGTTACTTCCGGGTTTCGCCGCTTGCGCATGTGCAGACGCTCAAAATGACATCACGTGCATGTACAGAAGCGTCGAAAAGTGACGCGTGCATGTGCAGACGTGCCGTCACTAGTTACGTTTGCTTCTAGATGCGAACGGGGCTCCGGAACGGATCCCGTTCATATCTAGAGGTACCACTGTATATAAAAAATAAAAAATTGTCCAGTGGCACCTTAGAGACCAACTAAGTTTGTTCTTGGTATGAGCTTTCGTGTGCATGCACACTTCTTCAGATACTTAGAACTTTCAGTAAAGGCCAAACTAAATGTGATGTTAAATGTGTCATTAACAACCATGTGTGTGTGAGAGAGAGATAGTGTGTATGTGTGTGTGTGTGTGTGTGTGTGTGGCACAATGGGTCATTGCATCTGAATTTCTAGTTGTGCTTCCAACATACCAACCAGTTTGGACAAGGCATCTACCATGGTCTCCCTTCCCTAACCGAGTCTACCTCTTAGAATCATAGAATTGTAGAGTGGGAAGGGACCCTGGGGTCATTTAGCCCAACCCCCTGCAGTGCAGGAATCCTGTCCACAGCTGTCCCTGAGTGGGCTGTCAAACCACCAGCCTTCTGGTTAGCAAGCTCCTTCTGAGACTACCAGTTGGTATGGAACTCTTCCTTCTAATTCCTGCAGAATGGGCAAAGGCAAGGATGGATAGGCACCTTTTAAATGTGACCACTTCCTCTCAAAATGACACGCTCCATTATCAGTGGAGAGTGACAGCTGCCCTACAATTGCTGCCATTTATGCCCAAAGAATAAGACAGACTCTTTTGTTGAACATCCTTTTATGCGCTGAGGATTTCAGAAGGCGGAAAAACACGCACAACCTAATTCATAGTGGATGGAAGAAGTGCCATCTCATACAATGATAAGAAGATGGACACAAAGCACATCCACAAACACAATTAAATAATGACCCCCCTCCTTAAGGATGGTCCAGGACATCTCTGGATATTTTAATGCTGGATAACCGGCTCTCGCACTCAGCCACCTCATCCAGGTTTCCATGGTGACATGGCTCAAACATCACTTCATCCCGAGAAAGGTGGAAATGTGGCTCAGGATTTAGGCACTTCGGTATTTAAACAAAACAAGGAAAAAGACATGCAAAATTAGCCAGGCAAAGGGCAGCCATTTGACCCCCTCAGCCATCCTGTTTGCTGCTTTTATTTAAGATGACACAGGAGTGTGGCATTACTTCTGTGTCCAGCCGATGCCTGACTTGGACAGGCCAGCCTGAATGCGGTTGTTGCTTGAATGCTGGAAGGCATCTTATTGCTGATACTTTGCAATAAGTGAGACGGGTGTCAGCATCCATGAAAGCAGAGCTTAAAATACATTTGGCACACTTGCAAAAGAGCCGCATGCCAAAGCTGCACACTTAGAAAGAGCGTGCAGGTAGAAAACGCTTCTACTCAATATTATTCTGTTGCAGTGATTGTCCTCCTTATATCCCCAGACGAAGGCCTAACAAGGCCTTAGCTCTCATGTTTTTTTGAGGCTCTCTGTTTCCAAGCTCAGCGGTGAAGGTCACTGGGTGACTTTGAGCTAATCTCTCTTTTTCTCTCTCTTAGACTTAGGGCTTCTGTTTGTCCCACCGCTTCCGCCTGGGAAAACCTGGTCTTTAGAGCAGAATTGGAACAAATGACTATCATTTCCAGGGATGAACAGAGGGTTTGTCGCTGAAGAGTGGGTTTTCCAGGGGAAAGCAGTGGGCCAAAACTGCTCAGATCCATGCCTAGAAAGTGGGGGACAAGTGAAAACCACTCAAGCCCATGCTGTCTAAGCACGGGACAAGTGGAAATGGGGACAAACCCTTATTTCCTTACAGGCAGGGCTTTTGTTTTCAGCCGGAACTCGCCGGAACTCAGTTCTGCTACCTCTCAGGCAGGTGCCATTGCCTTATAAGAGAACGAGGGAGGTGCTCATGGTGAGTTCAGATAACACTGCTTACAGGGTTGTTGTTGCTGTGAGAACAGGGAGGAAGGGAAATCCATGTATGTGTGCCACCATGAGTACCTCAGACGAATTACGGTACATAATTCCACCTTCGAAGCCAGGTTGGGTTGCTTTTCTTTATGTTTACAGAAACTGGTGTAGCGAATTATTCATTTTTGGAGATCTGCTTTTTGCTTTGAATTTTCTTTCTTTCTTAATTTTAGATAATTTGATGACATCTATATTGAAGCAGAGGTCTTTTTGGGCATATTTATTAATTATTTATACTTAGTCATAAAAATCATCATCATCATCAGTTGTTAACATGCCATCTAGACCCTTTCCTCCTCAGGGTCATCATAACATTAACTTGGGCCTACCTTAATGTTTTTCAGGGAGCCCCTGTTTGTGAACCCTCTTTGGTGAAACTGAGAGAGCATCTCATAACTTTTATTTCTCCCTATAATTTTAGACAGGGTTAATGTAGGACATCCTTTGACCTGGAGGGCTTTCTGCCTTTCCCTCTAATCCCTTATTTGCTGGAGTTAGTAAAAGTTACTTTTTAGTGAGCCAGGGCACTCCGCATATGCTCAAGACACCCACTTCTACATTATTACTTCACATTTCATTAGACTGATCCTTGGCAGTGAAAACTGGTGCAATCTGTGGCTAATAGCCAGAGCTTTTAGTCTGGGCTGGTTTGCTCACGATTTTCTTTGAGTGCCACTACATTCTCATCAAATGAACTGATCTCACTTATCTTCTCAGAGGGAGTTCCCTGGCTGAAAGGTTTATGGCAGCTGTTTGCTAGCAAGTGCAGAGTTTTCTTCCTAAAGATAAGTTGCTGCTGTAAATCTTAGACATGGCAATTGGACGAGGGAGAATTCATTGACTTTTGAACTTGAGAAGTTCATGGGACAAAAGTCTCACGTTCTCTCCTCTGTCCAACGAAAGGAAAGAACCACTTCAGTGAAGCTGAGCAGGGAGACTTGTCATCTGGGCAGCATGGGACCTCCCCTCCATACACACTGCCAAGGCTTGTGTAAGATTATAGCCAGTCTTAAAAAAATAAATAAATAATGCAAAACTGTATTGTAACATTAAAATAACTGGCCAGTAGAAATATAAAGGAACAAAAAATATAAAAATATAAAAGAACAAAAACAGGAAAAAGAAAAAAAACTATACAAAAGACAACAACTTGGTTCACAGCTGTTACCACATAAAATAAAGTACATTCTCAAGAGACTACACAATAAACTAGATGTTACAACATGAACCGACCAGATTAAAGAGAGTACAAAACAAATGTTATGAATACCAAATAATGCCATATTTCATCAGGACTTGCAATCCCTGTGATTGACTTCTCATATAAATAGCAAATGGCTGCCAAACAAACAGAAAATCCATAGATTTAGCTGCACCCCAAGATACCCTTAATGTTTTGAGTCAGTTTTTCAGAAATTGCTTTATTAAACCAAATATTTAAAGAAAAATCTAAGGACTCCTTCTAGCCCTGTGATATGGTCAACTGAGCAGCTATAAACAGAAAAATTGTAAGTGGTTCACATAATAAACCATTTTTGATTTGACCCATCAAAAATGGAAAAAAGATGCAATTATATCCAGTATTTATTGAGCATTTCTTCTGATTTGTTTAAGGACACTTATACGGCAATGAGCATTCATCCAGATTTGCTTTTGGTGTGTTAATGTCTTCCTGTTGGTCATTCATTCATCCCACATTTTTAAATATTTTTGTCTTGCTTCTGTTTCACCACACCCACACCCACACTCACCCACCCAGACAGCAATAATGTGGTATAGCATTGTGGAAGCAGCACAAAGGACACAAAAGTGAAATAAACCTGCCACAATGCACTATTATGTCGAGAACATATTGCGGAATACATCTGCAATAAAATGCCATTCCGGATGAGACCCTAAAGGCTGGTATATCGGGTCCTCCCTTAAAGAGGGCACGTATTGCGGTGAGACCTGGCAAACCGACACCCTGTGTTGTGGGAGGGTACGATTGGTCAGCCACAATACCCGATTGGTAGGTCCCTCATAGCTGGGTGCAATCTGGCCAATGGGATGCAGTCCAAACGGTTCGAGGGACCTATTTATGCCCATGCCCAGAGCTTCCTTTTTCGGCACGTGCATTCGGAACACCCGCACATGTCTCCCTACTTTTAGGGCTTTGTGCTTGACCTTGCTATGCCGTCGTGTGTCGTCTGTCGTTGGGACAGGGGCATGGGAAGGAATTTCCCCCACTTGGCTGATTGGCTGTTGCCATTTGGGTTTCACCTGCTGCGTAACAAATCGTCACAACTTGTAAGGTTGCGGATAGGCACTGGTTCAGGTGATAGGGATGGGAGAACGCTCTCGCCATCCCTATGTGAAATGTATCCCATTAAAGGAATCTAGGGACTCGATGGTTTGGTCAACCCCTGAGAGGGGTTTGTGCCTGTGCCTGAGTCCAGGGGGACATTTGGGTGGCAGAGTTAGCCCATTCCCGGCTTTCTGCTTATCCAGGTTTTCACCCTTGGCTGACCTATGCTGGAACCCTGGGTCAGCGCTACCTGCATAGAAGGGAGCTAGTCAAACCAGAGCCTATGCAACCAGTCACTTTCTGTAATCAATAAAGTTATGGCCTAAATTCTGCCAAAAACCAAACCAAAATTTTGAGTCATGTGTGAATTTATTTAGGGGGGAGGTTTCAGGGACGTGGGGGGCATTGTGGGTTAAACCACAGAGCCTAGGACTTGCCGATCAGAAGGTCGGTGGTTCGAATCCCCACGACGGGATGAGGTCCTGTTGCTCGGTCCCTGCTCCTGCCAACCTAGCAGTTTGAAAGCACGTCAAAGTGCAAGTAGATAAATAGGTACCGCTCCGGCGGGAAGGTAAACAGCGTTTCCGTGCGCTGCTCGGGTTCACCAGAAGAGGCTTAGTCATGCTGGCCACATGACCCGGAAGCTGTACGCCGGCTCCCTCGGCCAATAAAGCGAGATGAGTGCCGCAACCCCAGAGTCGGTCACGACTGGACCTAATGGTCAGGGGTCCCTTTACCTTACCTTTCAGGGTCTCAACATACAAGTGACAGAACCAGCCTTTGCAAAATACCGACAGTCTGCAGGCACCCTAAGAGAGCAACCATGCTTAGTCCTCATGCTTAGTCGCACATGCATAGCCAGTTCCCACAACCCACACCTAGAGATCAGTGTGAGCAGGTCAGAAGATGTTGCCTCTATGCAGACTTGAATTCTTCAATGTGGGGAAACCTTAATTTTTTTGTATCCAGTTATAACCTGTTCAGAGGGGACAGAGCTCTGTGCTCATCTCAGCTATGTCTGCTTGCAGGGTTGGGATGCCAGGTCCTGTATAAATCTTATCTGGTATGTAGACACATTCACTGACTTGCACTTTGATCACTGACTGCTGATTAATCATGTGGTTTTGAAGTATGAATTATTTTTGCGCCTGGAAGATTAGTATAATTCCAGCTTTAACTGCACTATTGTAGTCATATGATCTGAATGGAGATTACTTCTTATGGTTAGTGGGTTTCCTTTGTTCAGTTGACTCACAAAACATCATTTCCCTTTCAGTTAATCTCCAAAGGGTCGTGCATCCCCAGCAGGTTCTTAAAGCTGCACAACGTTGCATTTAAAGCCAAGAGAAACTTCTCAGTCGAGAAGGAGACCAGAAATTTGCCTGCCTGTGAGTAACCACATGCTTAGTTAGGTCTGCTCCTTGTGATTTCCATGAGACCTGACAGCATTAATGATAATCCCTCACATGTTGGGTGAAAGGAAGTGGTTTCTAACAATACTGTACATTAATTCTTTCCCCGTTGTGGCATTTGAAATTAGGGAATGTGCTTTTGCACCATTCATTTGCAGAAACACAAGATCGTAGCAACGTCTTCCAATCCAATACACTCTGCTGCTCCATGCAAACCTGCCGTAGCCTGACCAGAAGTGGTAGTTGAGATTACTTTTAATAAGACCAACCTAGTGAAATACAGCATTCTCTTTCTTTTTATAATCACTTACAAGAATACAATTCCTAATTTTTTTGGGGGTGGGGGTGGGGAGGTCTGTTTCCCACAGTAGAGCTTTATGGTGAGACTTGCCCCTGTCACTTGACATGTTTCCCAATTCATACAGCACAGAGCTACCTGATACCTTCTTTTCTTTCTGTGGCTACTGTTACACCCTTTTCTCTGTTAGTGATTCAGCATAGGGAGCGATATAGCAAGGATATGGAACCTTTTTGGCTCCGTGGGCTAGATCCTTATTCGGATCGGCCTCACAAGCCAAATTGGACATGTGGGTAGGGCTAGCCAGCTATCAGTCACATGGTGTTAGTATGACTTCACATGATTGACAGGTGAGTGGCTCCACCCAACTCTCAAAATCCCTTGTGCGTGGTGTACGCAAAGGGCTTTTAGCCCCTGAACTCCTGTTTGAGTCTTAAAACAGGAGCATGGGATTAGTCTTAAAATCCTTTGCAAACGAGCTCTTTGAAGTACTTCTCTTTTAAACAGGCAGGTGAGCGGCAGGGGGTGGGTGAGAGGAGCTACCATCCACTTAAAGAAAAAGTATGGAGATGCTTCAAAGAGTGCTTTTGCAAAGGGCTTTAAATCTTGCTACCTTAGCCATGCAATCCTGTTCCCTCCTAGGAAAAGGGCATACAACCAAGGCAGGATCAGCTGATGGGTAGGTGCAAGCAGTTTGGTGGAAATGGCCAAATTAGATCAAATTAGACCCATGGGTGTTGCAGCTGCCCAGCATGGTCAGAGTATTGGATCACCATGCCTGTTTGTGATTTTTTTTGTGGGGGGGGGCAGGGTTTGCAGGGCAAGATATTTATGGACTTGGTCTTCTGACTGTGGTCATAAAATAAATGAGAATTCCATAGCATTTGATTGGTCATTAAATGTCATGGTAAATCTCCTGTAAACAGCACACAATTGGTTTCATGGTATGCTTAGATCTAAAAGATAAAAGATCGTATGAACTGCTCCAAGTTTTTGTTTTTAGTCCACAAGAACACACTGCTTTTGTAGATAACTTGGGAGTATCTGAGGGCATCTAAACAATTATCTGTGCAGAGGAAATAACCCAAACAGCAACATTTCAGTTAAGGTTCCGCTTCTGTGCTGTAAACTCCCCCCCTTTCTTTGCTTTTGCTTCAGTGAAAAGCATAGGGATCTCCAGAGTATTTTGAATAAACCTTCAGTGAAATACCACTCAATAGTTGGGCTCTTTGTTACCCTTTGCATGTCCTATCAGTTCTGCTTCTGAGGGCATAAATCTACCAAGAACACTTCCTCCTCTGGAGGCCTCACTGTGCTTCCATTCATTTCATATGACGAAGCGTCTCAGCCCCAGCTGACAAAAAGCCAAGGCGAGTTAAGTAGACATGCAAGGAGAGGGTAAGCAATACCCACTTACTTAATTAAAACAGGCCAGAGACTAATAAGGGCACAGTAAAGTCAACGTGTGGCAGGAGCCACATCCTGAAAGCACTTAGGAGCTAAATTCTAAGTGCAGAAAGTCTGCAGGAACTTGTGCTACCCCAGCAGAGAAGTTTGAGGGGCTGCAGAAAACTAGGTTAAAAACTCCAGTTTTGGAAAAGGGGTGAAAAGAATAGTCTACTATGCATATGGCTCCACACAACACAGATCTAGCTAGAGGGAGAGTCAGCTTAGTTTTCGAAAAGGTAGGGCTATAGAAAGTGTCTCCCCTCCCCACAAAAGGATCAGTATTCCTAGCAAGAATCAAAGCAATCTATACTGAACAATCTGCAAATATATTAGTAAGTAATGATCTCTCAGAGGAATGTTTAATAAGAAAAGGAACTAGGCAAGGCTGCCCTTTATCCCCGTAGTTGTTTATTTTGACGTTCGAAGTAATGTTACAGAATATAAGAGCACCTCTCCAAACCAGTGCCAGATTACCAAATAGGCAGAGTTGTCACTGGGCTACGGGCCCCATGCCTTTTAGGGACCCCACGACAACAGATCAAAATAATATTGATTTGATCCCGAAAGAAAATTACAATCAAGCTTTCTTAGTTCAATGTTTTCCCACTAGAGCATGCGCACGAGAAACCTCCAGATACAAAGTTTTCAAAAATGTATTAGGACATAATTTGTGAGGGTGGCCCCCCAAGATTTTGACTGCCTAGGGGCCTCCGCAGGTGTTAATCTGGCACTGCTCCAAACTGAGTGAATGAGCAGTAAAATGGCAAATGCAGTTCAATGTAAATAAGGGTGACATGATACACATCTTGGCATAAAATCTTAATTTCACATATACACTCATAGGGTATGAACTGGTGGTAACTGACCAGGAATGAGACCTTGGGGTTGTAGTACATAGGTGGATGAAGATGTTGACCCAGTGTGCAGCAGCTGATTATTGATCTGATTATGATTAATGCAGCCATATGACGAAACCCTTTGCTTCACAAAATGAACTTTGTCCATAAGGAAACTGTTAAGGAGATATGAATTTTTAATCTGGATTTGTAAATGGTTCTATGAACGTTGTACACTGGCTTTATAGAAATGTTACTCGATTTGCCTCTACACCTCAGTATTGACAGTTTTATGGCTGGACAAATGTTTGAACAGGGTCAAACATTGGCACTTGAAGTGAGGAGTAACTACAGGAGTTAGGAGTGATTTGCGGGAGGCTTACACACATCGTTGTCGGATTGTAGCTCAGTTAATTTATTAGCTTGTGCACTAAAACAAATTGCTCATCTTCTCGTATGAACAGGATGGTGTTAGTGAACTTTGTTAGAAAGCTGATCAGCTATGTCTTACAATCCCTATTCTCATTGTGATCCATACAGTCAGTCATAAGGAATTTCTCGGTAACAGCACATGATCAAATGAACTTATGTGTGTGTGTCCTATTGGTACAAATGGAAGCTATATTTGGGAAGCTATATACAAGCAGCAGCACATCACAGATGCAGGTGGAGGCTCTATAAATTAATGCCTCTCAGATGTAAGCAGAGCAGAAATTACTGCAAAAAAACAACCAACCTGCATTGTTGGATGGGGCCAAGAGGTTGCGGCTTGAGGAGAAAAGGGAGGCCCTCTGATTCCCAGTGTGCAAGAAGAACTCCCAGAAATCTGGAGCCAGCACAGATCCTAGAGTTTCAATAAAGAAATATTGTTATTCCATAGAGAATCCTAGCGAGTGTCTGTGTGGGGGAAAATTCTGGGAAAGCTGAATTTCATTTCTTTAAACTTTTTACTTGCACTTCAAAGAAAGTTAAAGTTAACTCTTTTTTACCTAGCAAAAATGGAAAGTTGATGACCGGGAAATCCAGCTAGTTAAAGTTAAAAGCTGGCCAATTCTTTAACTTTTGAGCTAGTTAATTAGATAGCAAATTTCCAATAACTGGTGCTGAGGAAGAGCATAAAGTTATTTGGATAGAAACGTCAGCTTTTGCAGATAAATCCACCGGCATATGTAATGACTTGGATGCCATATTGTCATAGCTGTCAACTTTTCCCTTTTCTTGCGAGGAATCCTATTCAGAATAAGGGAATTTCCCTTTTAAAAAGGGAAATGTTGACAGCTATGCATATTGTTTGCAGAATCAGTGGTGGATGCAGCCAGGAGCCTGTCTAGTTTAGATAATTTTGGATACCTTTCAGTTAGTGCTACTTAAAGGATGTGGAAAAGATGCTTGAGGCTTTGAGGACTACCACCTGTGTACTGGACTCTTTGCCCATAGTGACTATCAGAATCTGCTAGGACCAGGATTACTCAGAAATTATCAGTATTGCTTTGAGAAAAGGAATTATTCCTGCTACACTGAAAAGGTAGTGGGTGAAATTTTGCATCCCCTTGGCTTAATGCCCTGTGTGGGATAACCTCCCACGCTGCTCTAAATCCAGCACTGTTATCCATGTCACAAGTCTTCCTTGCTGCTGAATGAGGAAGGGGCACTCCAGGATAATTAAAAACATTCCAAAGTGTTGTACAATGCATTCATTTTAGAATGAATTAAAGTGGAACCAAATGGGTCCCAGTCATTTTAATTTTTCATTCATCTTGAATGCCTACCAGAATACTGGAATACTGTGTCCAGTTCTGGGCATCACAATTTAAGAAGGATGTCGACAAGTTGGAATGTGTGCACAGGAGGGAGACCAGGATGATCAAGGGTCTGGAAACCAAGCCTTATGAGGAACAGTTGAAGGAACTGGGTATGTTTAGCCTGGAAAAGAGGAGACTGAGAGGAGATATGCTAGCCATCTTCAGGTATCTTAAGAGCTGTCACGTGGAAGAGGGAGCATGCTTGTTTTTCTCCTGCTCTGGAGGGTAGGACTCAAACCAATAGCTTCAAGTTATAAGAAAGGTGATTCTGCCTAAACATTTGGGGGTGAAATTCTGACAGTAAAAGCTGTTTGGCAGTGGAACAGACTCCCACAGACTCCCTCCTTTGGAGGTTTTTAAGCAGAGGGTGGATGGCCATCTGTCATGGCTGCTTTAGCTGAGATTCCTGCATTGCAGGGGGTTGGACTAGATGACCCTTGGGGTCCCTTCCAACTCTATGATTCTATTCCTTTACATAGTCTGATTCAAACTCTGAATTACCTGGCATGCCCCTCCCAGTCTCAGAATCTGGCAAATCATCCTCTTCTTAAGAGAAGTCTTTGTGAATTGAATGCTAGTGGTTTTAATGAAGTGTGTGTGTGTGTGCGTGTGTGTGCGCGTGTGCGTGCGCTTTGGTTCCTACAGGATAAAGAACAGTTGAAAAACTGAAACAGAATATAACCACACATGCTCTGCAAATATTTGGGGATATTAGTAAATAGCATAACCAACTTGTTCCATTGTTTTCAGTGGGTCTACTCCAACCATGGCTAAGTCTGGATCCAGTCCCAGGCCACAACCTATTTTGAAAACAGGGTCAACTGAAATAGGTAATTTGCAGCATTATAGTTAAAGCACTTCAACTATGACAAACCAACGCTACTCACTCTGAGAGCTGTTTCGGAGTCTTCCCATTCTGATTCCCTCCCATCCCCTTAGTTTCTCCCACAGGTGACTGCCAGCAAATTGCAAGGAGGGTGGGGAATTGTGCTTCGTGATGTCAGCAGCTTTAGTCACACTGCAGAGACAGTATGTGCCAGATGGAAACTACTGCCTTGTTCTCCTGCTTCTGCATCCCTCAAAAACAAAAGCCACACAGCAAGGCATGGCTTCATTCAAATTCTGCACCCCATTGGAGACTGGCATGATGATGACGCAGCATGGCAAGAACCCGAAGCCCGAAGAGCAGGTTGCGCAAGAGGAAAGCTGGCAATTCCCCTGCCTTGCAGTTGATGTTCCTGCTCAACTGAGCTTTGGCTGAAACACCCTCTCATGTTAACATTTTTTAAAAACCTGTAATAGTTTGTAGATAATGTTTGAGAGCCAAATTGTTTCATTTGGTGACGAAATAAATAACCCAGGTATCACTTCTCAGCCTTTGGGCTAAGATTGTGTGTGTGTGTGCAACAATGCAGGTTTCACATTTACATTTACAAATCCAGATTAAAAATTCATATCCCCATACAGTTTCCTTATGGACAAAGGGACTCTGATGCAAACATGAAGCTCTCGGTCATATGGGAACTTCTCATGCAATTCTGTGTTGGGACTGGGTCTGCACACACAAACTCATTGCAGCTTCAGAATTGTGAGTTTGATTGAAAATGTGCACATTTTAAAAACAGAGCCATGGGCATTACTGCATTTTTTAAAAATAGAAGTTCAAATTTAGCACCAAACACATCAGTATATAATGCACTCTTTGCTAACTCCTTGATTCAGTAATTCAGGGTCCCATTATTGTTCTTTTGATTCCCGTGGAAGAAAAGAGAGGAACAAAGTAATTGAAATAAAACAACCTGTTGTCCTATTGTTGAACCTTGTAAGCTCTGGGAGATTTTTCAGCTGAAGAGCAGGGTGAAATACTTCAAAGAAGTAAATACTGGGCATGGTTTTGTCCCTGGCAAGAGTGTATACTTTTGAGTTTACCTAGAGTTTTAAATGTTGAAGGAGCAAATTAAGGACCTTGACAGATGCTGGCTATCAGCAACAAAAGGTGGCAAATGTAAACCACCCTGTGATCTTCAAATAAAGGGTGGTATCATCATCATCCAAGCCAAAAGAGCCAAAAATTGAATTGGTTGTCATCACAATAATTTGTAGTGCTGTTGAAGGGAGAATTGAGGCAAAATCAAGGACTTTCCAGGACTGAGAAGGAACAAAGGAACAGAATCACAGTCTTGGAAATTAGATTTAAATCTGGAACTTCTGTGAAAATCATGCAAACTTGTTAAGTATGTTTCTCTATATTCTCCACATATAGTTCTATGCATATACCTAGAACTTTTTAGTAGATTAGAAAGTTCTCTCTCTTTTACAAAAAAAAAAACAAAAAAAAAAAACAGCTCCCACAAAATTGTATTCATTTTTGTTCCTTTTGTTTCCAGACACCTGCACAGGGATTGTAAAAAAAAAGAAAAAGAAAGAAAGAAGAAATATCTCCCAACTGTTGTTGCACGCAAAACAATAAAAAAGGAGCTTGCTCTGGAAGTACCTTTAGAAAGGAGGTATCTTTAGGTAGAAAGGGGGGGGGGGCTAACATTTGACAGAAGAAAACATGCCTTGTTTCAAGTTAATTGAACAAGGGGATCATAATAGGAAGGGTAGGCATACTAAGGCCTGGGTGCCGGATCCGGCCCGCGGACGGTCTAGGAATCAACATGTTTTTACATGAGTAGAACGTGTGCTTTTATTTAAAATGCATCTCTGGGTTATTTGTGGGGCATAGGAATTCGTTCATTTTTTTCTCCAAAATATATTCTGGCCCCCCACAAGGTCTGAGGGACAGTGGACTAGCCCCCTGCTGAAAAAGTTTGCTGACCCCTGATAATAGTATGCTAGCAAGCTTTGTATCAGGCATTTTTTGTGGAGCAAAGTTACCTGAAATGACAAGGGATGGAAATAATATTAATCACCATGAACTTCTACAATGTAGAAAGCCGTCTTTCACGCTCAGAAGTCTTAGGTTTACTATACGAACACATGATAGATCACTCCTTGAATTTGTTAATTTCAGCACTCAGATCCTGCTTCCTGCCATATTTACGGTGGCCAGTAATTATAGGATTTTAAAATATTAAGCTATCCATAATTTAAAACAGTTCATACAAGCAAAGCTGCCAATTCCAGTTTCCAAGAAAAAGAGGGAGCAGTGCTGTGCCAGGCAAATGAGTGTACTTGGCAGGTGAGTCTAAGAACGAGGTACAGCTTGAACACACACAATCAGTCAGTACACACAGTTCAGAAACAAGTGCTATTAAACAGATACAGCTGGAGCTTTGAAGGATTTGGTGAAGTTGCCAGATGTCACTTTTATGACCTGGCTTTGGATTTGTCCTCCTCCTCCTATCATGATTGTCTCTGGAATAGAGTCGTGTTAGGGTTCAATCGGAGGGAAATCAGGCAATTTATGAATAAGGTGACTATGTTCTAGTTTTTAGAGGACAGTCATCTATTTGAGCAGCTGTCTGGCCCATTTTAAAGATAAATTACCATAAGAAGGGAGAGCAGTGGCTGTGAAGTTGCCCATCAACAGCACTTAGACAGCAAACTGTGTTAGATACCCACTATGGTGAGATGTAAAAGTAAAGGGTAAAGGGACCCCTGACCATTAGGTCCAGTCGCAGACGACTCTGGGGTTGTGGTGCTCATCTCGCTTTAATAGCCGAGGGAGCCGTCGTACAGCTTCCGGCTCATGTGGCCAGCATGACTAAGCCGCTTCTGGCGAACCAGAGCAGTGCACGGAAACGCCGTTTACCTTCCCGCCGGAGTGATACCTATTTATCTACTTGCACTTTGACGTGCTTTTGAACTGCTAGGTTGGCAGGAGCAGGGACCGAGCAACGGGAGCTCACCCCGTTGTGGGGAATCGAACCGCCGACCTTCTGTTCGGCAAGTCCAAGGCTCGTGGTTTAACCCACAGCACCACCTGCGTCCCCATGGTGAGATGTATTTCTATGCAAAAGTAGATCCATGACTTTTTTTCAGGGGGGAACTCAACAGACCTCATTTCCGGCACCTCTTGTGTAGGTGCCATTGCCATTCTTAGAGAAAGAGGGGGGCATTTATGATGAGTCCTGGCACCTCTTTTTCGTTAGTGGTTTGAATCCCCGCGACGGGGTGAGCTCCCGTTGCTCGGTCCCTGCTCCTGCCAACCTAGCAGTTTGAAAGCACGTCAAAGTGCAAGTAGATAAATAGGTACCGCTCTGGCAGGAAGGTAAGCGGCATTTCCGTGCGCTGCTCTGGTTCACATGACCCGGAAGCTGCAACAGCTCCCTCGGCCAATAAAGCGAGATGAGCACGCAACCCCAGAGTCGTCCACGACTGGACTGGTCAGGGGTCCCTTTACCTTTACCTAAGTATAACATTAATGGACTGAGGCTGAAATACAAACATATAGTTTGCATTACAGTGGTACCTCGGGTTAAGAACTTAATTCGTTCCGGAGGTCCGTTCTTAACCTGAAACTGTTCTTAACCTGAGGTACCACTTGAGCTAATGGGGCCTCCCGCTGCGCAATTTCTGTTCTCATCCTGAAGTAAAGTTCTTAACCCAAGGTACTATTTCTGGGTTAGTGGAGTCTGTAACCTGAAGCGTATGCAGCCTGAAGCGTCTGTAACCAGAGGTATCACTGGACTTTGGTGAATTTTGTAGCCTTTTAAATTTTTTTTTAATTTTTTTTTGCAGTGATTAAGCAAACCTTATGAGGAACCATACTGCAGATGCCCCAGGGTAGTATTCAGCTGCCTTTTACTCAAAGCAAACCCACTGAAATGAACATGATGAAGTAAGGGTAAGGCCCATTCATTTCCACAGGTCTACTTGGAGTAAACTTTATTTTTTCATCGGAGAAATGTTGGAGGGTATGCAGAGACCCAACTTTTGCGTTCAACGAAAGACACTGTTTGAAAGAGCCCACAGGAGGAGCCAATGTTTCTGATTTCTTCTTCAAATTATGTTTAAATGTCTGAAATAAACATTTTCACCCAAACCGGCAGCTTCGCACAGTCCCCAGTCCACCTCAGCCTTTCCATCATTTCGTCCTTTCGAAAAGGCGGGATTCATCCATGGGCATAGCCAGGATTTTTGTTAGCGGGGTGAGGACTTTTGTCAGTGGGCAGAATCGTCTTGACTGGTCAGTTAGTGAAGTATTTCTATTTTTCTATTGTTTTACTTGATCTGAGGGGGCAGCTGCTCCCCCCCCCTGGCTTCATCGCTGAGGGAATTCATTCCACCTTGAGGGAAGGGGAAAGGCGGGGGGGGGAGCAACTTGGGTGTGATCTTGAGTGTGACAGGGCTGGGCTCAGCGGCGCAAGCACATGCTCTTGCACGCTTCATCCCCGAACCCACAGCACTTGCCAAGCGCTAAATAGAGAAGAGATAATTCCTGCGCCATTTAGGGGAAAAGATTAATTTGGTCAGTTAATCCCCTCCTGCTCCTCCTTCTCTCCCCCCGCCCACCGCGAAGAACCGAGCGCGGGAAAATGCACAAACAGTTCTGCAGGTGACCGTCAGCGCGAGGCGCAGAGGGGACCCTGTGGTGCCCGGAGAGGAGGCGCATGCGCGTTGGTTGCGCGGGCGAGCGAGTGTATGTGGGGGGTGGCTTTGCGCGCGTTGAGGGAAGCGCTAAGGTGCTTCTGAGGGAGAGAAAGTTGCCCGCGAGCGGGATAAGGAGGAGGACCAGGAGGCGTTGCAAGCCACCCGGCCAGCCCAGGAACTTGCCCCTTGCTGGTGGCTCCTCGCCCGCAGAAAAGGGCAGGGGGAGGAGAGCGCGTGGCTGGTGCGCCCGGGAGCCCAATAACTCCAAGCCGCCAGAGGGATGTGGAGCCTTATGAGGAGGAGGCGGAGGAGAGTCGCCGCTGCCGCCGCCGCCGCTGATGCTTCGCAAGCCGCTGACGAGGGAAGAAAGGGGGCTCTCAAACTTTCCAGCGGGATGCTGCGCGGAGCTGCGCTGCTGCGGTCCTGATCGCTCTCTGTCCTGAAGCGGCGCTTGCCTGGGGTTTTTCAAGGGCACTTTCGGCTCCCACCTCCGCCCCGCCACCGCTGTGGAGGGAAGCTGCTGGATGCTGCTGCTGCTGCAACTGCAACTGCTTCTCCATCGCCGGCGGTGATTTCTTGCCTGGATCTTTTATTTTATTTTTTTTGGCCTCCGGCGCCAGGCCTGCCGTGGGGCGACGACGGGCTCCTGAGCCTGAGCAGAGCTCGCGAAGCCACCCCGAACTCCCCACCTGCTGCTGCCGAGGAGGCTTTGCCTTGCTGTGCACCGGCCCGCTCACCCCCCCCGCCCCCCGTCCTGTGACTCCCTGTTGATGCGCACCCGGCTCTTGGCCGT